CCCCCCCCCCCCCATTCTTCGAACTTCAGATGTTGCTACTGAGAATTCTGGTACCTTTCTGATTCCTTTGGCTTTGTTTTATATATTTTCCTTTTTTGTTTCCTCTTGGGATGCTTTTTGGATCTTCTTTTCATTTGCGATATTTTGAAGTTTTACCAAGATATGCCTTGGTGCGGGGCTTCTTCTTTATACTAGATTCTTAGTGTTTTGGAGACTTAAAGCTTACAGATCTGGGACATTATTAACTTAGAGTATTTGTAATTTCTTTCTCTGCTCTTTTTAGTTTCTGTTATTGCCCATTGTTACTGGAATTTTCATGTTGCGAGCGCTTGACCTAGGACAATGCTTTTTCCACTCCAAGAATATCCCTCTTTTGTTTTATGCAAGCAAGATCTTCTGTTTCAAGGGATATTCATTATAATTTCTTTGAGATTTTCTTCTGTTCTCCATTATATTTTTAGTTTATTTAACTTTTGTTTGTTCTAAGCCTGGCTGCCTTGTGTCCTAGAGCCGAGGCGGGAGGGGAGCTGGGGCGTCTCACTCTTCAGTCTGCTGATAGCCACTGAGTTCTCTGTTTTTATCACATCACACCTGCCATCCTCTGCGTCTGGAATCTCCAAATTCAGAGCCTCTGGGATTGTTGTTGGTTATTTTTCTTTTTTTAAAGAAAAATTTCATATCTTCTGTGGGATGGGAATGGGGATGTGGGAATCTATTTTTTTAATACATATTTTGAATCAGTTCTCCATTTTAAGCCCTGCCTCACCTTCCGAGCTACTTAGGAGTCTAGAGTCTGAGCTTTTTAAAGTCCTGGGTGGCTTGGTTCTCACGGGTGTTCCCCTTGTAAGCTCGCATCTGCCTGTCTTGCTAAGTCATTTCAGGATTCTTACATCTGATTTCCGTCTTCATATATTGTAATTAGGAGATTATAAATGTCTTCTCATTTTGTCAGAGATCAAGCTTGTCTTTCTTTATCTTGTTTTCCTTGGGGGAACTTTTGAGAAAAGAACACAATAAAATCCACATTTCTATCGTCTTGAAATAGAAAATTCCCATTTGATCTTAAATGGGTGATATCAGGTTTTCTCTTTGATATGGATTGAATAATGTTGACATTCATCGTAAGCAAAACTTAGTCTATTAGATGCATTGGTGGTTTTTTTTTTTAAGGTAAATAAATGACGTGTATGACCTAATTGCCTAGACAAAATTACATTAGTTCTTAACTTATTTGGCCCTGTAGTACAAATTATCATTCCATCTTAATGGTGTTTTCAAGACTAGCTTATACTTTAAGGAAACCCACTTTTTATTTCAACAACTTCTGATAGAAATGCCTCCAAAATTTATGAGGGATTGCCTGCATTTTTATCTAAAAAAATTTTTTTTAACATTTTATTTTATTTTTTGAGAGACAAAGAGAGGCAGAAGGCAAGTGGGGGGAGGGGCAGAGAGAGAGGGAGACACGGAATCCAGGCTCCAGGCTCCGAGCTGTCAGCACAGCGCCCGACACGGGGCTTGAACCCACGAGCACGAGATCATGACCTGGGCTGAAGTCAGACGCTCAACCGACTGAGCCACCCGGACATCCCTTTCTTGCGTTTTTAAACAGAAAAGGACGAATGTAGCCTTCTGTTGGTTTCTCTGACCTCATGCTGATATCCCGGGTTGCGCTGTGCTGTGTTTTGGTGACGCTTCTCGGGCTGGCACCTCCTCTCTCGCTGAATTCTGCCAGGAGCTTGCTTCATAAATTCGTCATCGACTTTGCAGAGGGGGCTGTCACTTCCGTATGAGTCAGCGAGTCAGAAAGGGCCCTCCGGTCCCCTGACACCGTTACTGCATTTAGCGGACTGTCCGGTATGCTCAGGAAGAACTGAGATCGGCAACAGAGGCAGAATATCCAGGCCGGCAAAGCCAGGAGCCTAAAATCGAATGCCAACTATCTGCCAAGTAGGCTTTGGTCGGATAGCGCAGGGAGAGCTCCCCCAAATTTCTGTGATTCTCTCGGGGTGAAAATCCCAGGTTCCGTAGCAGCTCTGTTCTTGTCTGCTCAGCCCACGACCAGGTGTCCCCTGTCTTGGCACCAGTGACATTTGGGCCGAGGCGCTTCTTTGTGGCAGGGGCTGTCTTGCGCATTGCAGGGTGGTCAGCGGCATCCCTGGCCTCTGTCCATTAGTCATCAGTAGTTCCCACTTCTCCCAGTGGTGACAGCCAAAAATAGTCGCAGACATTGCCAAAAACCCCTGGGGGGGGGGCGGGCAGTGGCAACGTGGATTCCTTTTGAGAACCTCAGACTCTGAGTCTCCTCTTTCTTCAGATTTTCTGACCCTATTCGGGACGTTTGACGGTGTAGAAAGTGTGACCACAAGTGCCCAGAAGAGCATTGTAATTCCTCGTAATTTCACAAAGTGTGAAGCGATTCGTAAAGCACCCGTATTTCCATAATGTGCCAAACAGTCCTTGCTTTGTACTGATGACATTTGTTGAGGGCGCCCTTATGTGAGGTAACATTTATCGAGCCCACACGGCGTGCCAGGGCCTCTTGTAATCACCATCGGCACCCTCAGGGAGAAAGGATCATTGCCCCTGTTGTAGCAGATGGGGAAACTGAGGCACGGGGCTTTTAGGCGCATTGCTGGGGTGTATACAGGGTGCAAATGGCGGAGCTGGGATTCCCACCCGGCAGGGGGACTTTAGAGCACGAGCCCCTCACCCACACTTTGTGCGGTGGTTGACTTGGAGATGCCAGGACCAGAACGCAAGCCGCGTGTGTGGACTTCAGCCCGTCTGCCCGTTCTGAGCACCAAGAGGGCCGGGCTGCACATGTCTTCCTCCTTTACATTCCCGTCCCCCGGGCCAGGTAGTAGAGGCACAGTGAAGGTGAATGTTGAGAAATGAAATCAGGGGCGCCTGGGTGGCTCAGTCTGTAGAGCGTCCAACTTCGGCTCAGGTCATGATCTCGCAGTCTGTGAGTTCGAGCCCCGCGTCGGGCTCTGTGCTGACAGCTCAGAGCCTGGAGCCTGCTTCGGATTCTGTGTCTCCCTCTCTCTCTCTCTGTCCCTCCCTGCTCATGCTGTGTCTCTCAAAAATGAATAAACATTAAAAAAAAAAAAAGAAATGAAATCAACGCCAGTCTCGTGGGCTGTTTACGAGAAGAGAGGAGCCCGATACCAACTAAGTGTTACGGTTTCCTGAAGGAAGCTACGTGGCAGTATTGTAGGTATTGACGTGCTCCAGGTCTTGGTCTAGACAGGATACCTGCCTTGGGTGAAGAAGTAGGGGGACTGTGTCCTGAGAGCCCCATTATAGGGGAGCTCATTACGTTTCATGGGGCAGTGGCCCCCTGGTTGGCTAGCACCTCTGGGAAATGAGAACTTCAGACATTCACACCCTGTGACTTCGGCAAGGCCGGCCGAAGCACATAACACACACTTGCAAGATTTAGCCGTTCCCTGGGGGTTCTGGAAGGCAGAACGTGGCGGCACCTCCAGGTCCTTGGCACAAACGCCCCATATGCCATGAGACCCGAGGTGCCAGTTGATTGAGAGCTTGGGTTTCTGGAGAGCGTGGACTGATGGGTGTTTCCGTTCACCTTCATTTGAGATCGTGGTGCTTTGAGGAGGCCACGAGAGGCGAGTATTCTGACATTTGCCCTCAAAGCTCCTTCAGGATTGTTTGAGGAGGGGGTGAGAGTGCACACATGTGGTTCGGTCCTGATACAAGACCGATGTTAGCCAGCACAGTGATGGTAGGGTTCCACTTGCGGACCCATTGGCCATGTTGTTCCTGTGCTGTAGCTGGACTGTGAGTTTCACATCACTGATGCCCATTAGAAGTAAGGCTGCCCCAGAATTCGGGCTGAAAAGTGCTCAGATGGGAAAGATGGGCTGGCCTATCTTTTAAATCCCATTTAGACTTTTTTTCTCATCTGAGTACATATTTGTGTAATAGCTATAGAAAAAGCCATGGGGTTCATATTGAAAGGGTCTTAGTAAATTAGGAAGCCTCACTTAGTTCAGATGTTCTATTTCGTTTCCTTCCTTCCTTCCCTCCCTTTTCCTTCCTTCCCTCCCTCCCTATTCCTTCCTTCCCTTTCTTTCTTTCTTTCTTTCTTTCTTTCTTTCTTTCTTTCTTTCTTTCTTTCTTTCTTTCTTGTCAGAGAATTCTCTCTTGAAATGGTAATAATACAGGGAAAATTCCAGAGCAGAAACGTCACCTACCTTGTAGATTCAGATGAAAAGAATCTTTGGTAGCCATAGGAGCTAAAACTCAACGCATCAAGTGACTTAAATGCCAATGCATACACATTCACTAGATACACTTACCCTTCAACACCCAACTCAGTTCTCACCTCTATCCTGGTCTCCACCAGACCAAGTTAGTCATTATCCTTAAATGCTGCTGTAGCAGTTTGCTCTGCTTCCTGAAATAACACATTCCCCATTGTGTTCTAATTCATCTGTTTTCATGTCTTTCTTCCTGCCTGGATGGTGAGGTTCTGGGAGGCGACGATTCACCTTTGTATTCCCAGCACCTGGCATGTGTAGGCTGGTTCGTAGGAGGCAGTCTGTGCCTGGTGGGTGCATGAGTAATGGGCGAGCTCATTAAATTTCCTCTTCCACACTGGGCAAGAAGAGGACATATCATATTGAAATATTTCCAACTTGTTAATAATAAGCAATCCCATTTTATGATTTAGAATAAGGAGTGTTCAGGGCATAGTATTTTTTTTTTCTTTATCCCCTGCTCATTCTTTTCTGCC